ACTGCAAACACAGGGTGAAGTAACATACACACATTGCATGTGGAACGGAATCAAAAGACCTTGCTACCTCTTTGGAAGGAAATTCCACGCAGATACTCTCGATAAACTGCTCCACCTCTTCTCAAACTACACAAGCATTGCATAGGGCTCACGAGCGAATTTGATTGATTGATGAAATTGCAATGCAAAGGAGGTATTCTTTTGACTCGGATTCTTTGATCAACGTCCCATTACATTCTAATCCCCACCCGTGAATCAAATTAAAAACTCGAGGAACTATTATGGATCCCCTAGAAGATGTAACTCGTTACAAAGTCCTTTAAAGAGCGGATAAAATCGGAGTGATCTTGAGAAGCTTAGGAAAGTGTTTGGGATTTTTTTTCATTTGGTTGGGGACGTTGGGACATATTAAACTCATCTGTTTTCACTACATCTCTTTGTGATCTATAGAGTTTTCAGAGTGCTTTTTGTTTCTCATTTTGGTGGAACTCTTTGCAGAAATTGAAACGAAAAAAGAAAAGACAGGTTTATACAGTTCAAATCTGAGTATAGGATCATATCTCACTGAAACTCCAAAATAATTGGAGATTTATATCAAAAACTAATTATACAAACTGCTGTTAAGCAAGCATTTTTCTTTTTTTCAGACAGTTCTCTAGAACTACTTTCTTATTACTGCATATTACAAAAAAATAATATTACAACACAGCACCATTTGTTCATCGCCGATGTCCCAGAGCCACCACCGGAATTCTCACCTTATGCCCTCGGCTTCCTTTCAACTTCACCTCTCCGAAGTTGTATACTCCAGAGACCGATCTTACAGTCACAGTGACCGAGAAGCTTCTAGTAGCGCCTGGCCTGAGAGTCATTGCTGGTGGGTTCACTTCAATGGCGATAGATGGCTGCATCCTAGCTGTTATTGTGTATGTTTCTTCTATCTCCGCCACATTCGTCACTCTCCTAGTTACGGTTTGTGTACCCACAAGGTGAGAAATGGCGATAGATGGTGCGTTGAAGTTTGAAGGATGTTTCATGTCATAGTTGCAGGGCGTGTTTGTGTAGTTTCTTATTTCATGGGCATCGATCCCTGGGGTTGTGCACAAGAATCCCAGATAGTCCTCGTAACCTGCAAGAGAATATCGATTAAAGACCAAGTAAAGAAGACAGTTTTTTTTACATCATTGATGAAAACAGAGTAATAATACCTGCATCAAAGACGAGACCAGGATCTAGAGCAGCGCGTGGGTTGACATGACCACTTCCGTAATCGAAAGGAGTGGCTTTAACAAGCGTTACAGCTTCTGTGTCTGAATATTGCTGCGCCTGAAGAAGCCTTCCTGCTCTATCTATGACTGTTGAGGTTGTCATCAAAGCTGATTTGATAGCAGCTGGGCTCCATTGAGGATGCTTCTGCTTCACAAGCGCAGCTATCCCGGCTATGTGTGGTGCAGCCATGCTCGTTCCTGATATCAGCGCAAATCCTTCGCCTGTTAAAGACACAAAGTAAGAAACTTTAGTTCTGTTCAGAAGAATCTGCACATGTTAGCTTCAGTACTTTGAATGCTTACCAACATAATTGGGCTCATCTGTTCCATTTGGAGACCAAGCAGCCCATATTAGATAACCGGGTGCAAGGATATCTGGTTTAAGAAGATCAGCATCTTGAAAGCTGAAATCTTTGGTATTGGGTCCTCTAGCTGAAAACAATGCAACTTGAGGTGCTGATTTGTGAAGCACGGGTGCTAAACAATCTCCGATGCTTCCCTCGGCGTTAAAGCTTTTTACTCGTCCTGTCCAATCCCTTGATGTACTGACGTTATAGTAATCGATCAAATCCTAAAGATAGACAAAGGCATTTTCAGATTGAGAAATCAAGACTCAGAGTAAGTGAAAGCATTAAAACTCCCATTACCATTGACTTAGACACATCTGTAATCAGTATTCCTGGAATGGCAGAAGGGATGGGATCGAATTTTGTTCCCGGAGAAACATTTTCGACAACAAGAACAAAACCAGCAGCTCCGAGATGCTTTGCGGTTTCAACAACTTTCTTGATGGAAGCTGTACCAACAACAAAGTTAAAAGAATATCCACAGAGAAGAATCTTTCCTTCAATCAATTTCTTGTTCAAGACTTCTGGCCTCTGGCAATCAGATGGATTATATTTCGATACTGAAGAATCAAGCAGAACATCATTTGCGGAAACCAATGTGTACAACCGACCAGGGCGAGTTGATGCTGCAAAAAAACATAATAATTAACCAAAATAAGAATTAACATTCTTCTAGTGAACATGTTTAGAATAGAAGGGAGCAAAACTTACGGGATAATCCAATTCCGGCAAGCATTTTTCCACTTCCAAGGGTAAGATGATTTTTGTATCTACGATCATCAATGGCAGCAGCCACAGTAGTTATCCAGGGGCTATATGAAACCAAAGTTTTTGGAAAGGGCCCCCCGTTTCCAGCAGCTTGAGCAACGAATACACCAGCTTTTACGGCCCCAAGAAGTGTAGCATCGAACGGATTCAAGAATGTTGTCTTGGTAGTTGTTGGAGGACTGTTTGGACCAACTGAGAGACTCAGGATATCAACTCCATCATGAACAGCCTGCTCATGAAGATCTCTAATTAATATCAACTAAGGTAGTATCCATGGAAACTAGTAGTTAGAAGGTTACTTGACTCGTGTTGCTGAATGAATAAAGCATATGCAGCAGGGGAAAATTATTTCACTAAGCTGAGACATTTTCTGTGATACCGTATAGTCTTTTCTAAGTTCTTACTCTTACCTGGTCAATTGCGGCAACTACATCAGCAACAAAGCCTCCAAAAAGCCGGTAAAGAGCCTTGTAAACAGCAATCCTGAAAGAAATTAGCCTTTTAGCTTTAAGAAGGAGAAGAAAACAAACTGACATTACAACTGCCATTTTACACTATCTACCTACCTTGCACGAGGAGCCATCCCACTTGCTTTTCCGAATTCATAACCATGCATTCTCAACGGAATACCGTTATTCCCAGCTGCTATAGCTGCTGTATGACTGCAAATCCAGCAGTTCAATGAGAATATAAAAGATCATCAGGTTTGCTTAGTACAGTGAGATACATGCACAATACAAGGGTCTTATGTTGACTCCTAGGCCCTGAGAACAATATTATATATATCATAAGGACAAAGACGAACCTTCCGTGCCCATCGCCATCCATTGGTGATGCATAGTCAATATCCGGGTTAAATGCTCCAGCCGCTTTAGCAGCTTCAGCAAAATGTTGGGCTCCAACGATCTTCCTGTTGCAGAAGCTCTTCTTGGTATGAGGATCTTCTTCACATTTCCCTTCGTAATGAGAAAGAGGGCCATAAGGTAATCTGTGGTGAGAGGCAAAACTCGGATGATGCGGATAAATCCCCGAGTCAACAAACCCGATAACAATATCTTCTCCTGCTCTATCAAAACCACCACCTGTCGGCCAAACATCGGTTGGAAGTCCCAGAAACTCTGGTGTATGTGTTGTGAGTCTCCTCACTTTCCAATCTTTGTCAACAGACTTCACACCGGGGGTGCGACGTAGTGTTTCTGCCTACCAAAGATAGTGGATTAGCGTAAGGTAACACAAATAAAGAAATTAGTAGAAATGTACTCAAATCGGTTTTCCACCTGCTCAGGAGAACCATGAACTGCAAATCCATTTATAAGGTGTTTATAGCTGTAAAGCTTTTTGTATGATCCTTCCTCAAAGAGTAGCCCAAGAATCAAATCGTGCTTCCTCTCTAAGTGACGAGCATACGATGTCACCAATTCACTGAGAAGGTAAAAGATTGTTATAATCTACTAGCAAGCAATGTATAAACACTTCTTTTAGGTACTATTGCAATTGAAGTAAAGAAACTAAGTACCTTGATTTATCAATCTTCTCATCAGAATCAGATTCAGATTCAATAGCAGTTGCTTCAAAACCATTTTCTCCACCTCTGTAACTTATGATTGGTTCTCCTTCCATAGTCACAATGTAAACCTCTGCTGTCACAGTAACAAGAAGCGCGAAAACGACAAAAAATCTCAACCTGATATCCATATTCCTTGACACACTAATGAAGCTCCGACTTGAATTTTTTTCTGTAGATTCAACTGCAGCATCAAAACCAAATTAATGCATTAGCATCCTCAGGACCATTAATATTATAATCTAATCTCATACACTCTTCTCAGAGAGCTATAGACATGGCTTCGATCTAAAAGGACCAATAATTCTCACAAAACACACTCACAGTAAATAATCAACGTACTATATAGAGACAAACGAATCATCTCCAAAGCCAAGTAGTTACAGGTCAAGAACATTAAAGCTGAAAATTTCTCAGAAAAACACACACACACAATACATAATCAAGCTACTATATAGATACTAAAGAATCATCTTCAAGGCCAACTACTTACAGACAGGTCAAGAACATTCAAAATGTAAATCCAACGAATTTTGTAATTAAAACCAAAACAAATAGAAGAAGAGATTTAACAGCAAGCAAGAGATTCACTTTTCTCTCTGAATTTGTCAGGAGCCAAACACCAAGAGAAGAAATTGAAACCTGAATCACAGCTTGAAGACAAAGAAGCTGTAGTTTCTGGTACTCACTCCAGAGAAATTTGCCTGAACACACTAAACAAGTAAAGAAAGTTGAGCTCTATATGATGCCATTTATATAAACAGCTAGAAAAAGTAAGTACAGTATAACAACTATTGCTCTTCAATTAATGAGACAAACAAAGAAGAGAAAAAAAAGATAAAAGAATCTTAAACCTACATTTTTAGC